ACTGACAACCAGGGGAATACATGGGAGTAGAAAAAGAGGGCTCTAGGAGCCCTAGGTGAGTGGATGACAGCCAGATAGAGTGATTCATGGTGGCAAGATGAATGAATAATTGATGCCAAAGAGCTGAAAGCGATGTAGAAGGGAAACTGGATGGACAACAAACATATGCTCTTTCTCAGACTCGTATACTTCTTAGTTTAATTCTCTTATTAAAATCTCCAAGCTGAATATGGCCTAAATACATGTGTACTGCTGTTGATAGCCTTTTGAGGAATTCCACTGTAATGCTTCACTGGCAATTTTACTTAAAAGAATGCTAATGTCCTGCCAGGACATTTCCCCAGTTCCTTGGGATTCAGTATTCATAATACAGTATTCTGTATTATTTCTTGCTTCTTGGATTTTATATTATTTTCCAAGTGGAGCTGTCAGCCAGTTTCATTGCAGAGTCTCTCATAAGCTCAAGCACACTGTAAGATATGATGGTTTATCAAAGTTTTTTGGTTCTTTTCAGATCTCTCTGGCTAAATACCTTTCCCCTCTCCCAGGCAGCTGATTAAAGTGGGCTTAAAGTGCCTCTGCCCCTCTAAACTTCATAAAGAAAGCATTGCAGTAAGTAATAAGCCAGAAACACTACAGCAGCTCCAACTAAAGTCAGGTTCCAGGTATTTTCAGCAGAGGAATCAGCTGCATAAATGGACAATCTTTACTGGCAAACTTAGTTTGCCAGTCGCCAGCACTGCAGTTTCCCATTGAACTGCCTCACCTAATCATTCTTCCTAATGTTTGAGTTTGCGTAAGAATGGATGGCGCAATATAAGATGAGTAGAAGCCAGGAGAGGAAGAGGGACTGAAGCACAGCGCAGACAACATTCTTTGGTAAACAGCATAAATTGTCTTAAAAACATTCAACAGAATGGAAAAGTTACTTTTCCGAGCCATGCTCCTATGTGCGGCTCACTTCCAGATGCAAGACAGTATCACAACCATGATTCATCATCAATTGCTGCACAATCTGGGTCCTTCAGCAGAGGAATTTGAGGTTGGCACTTGGTTTCTCTAATGTCCACTCATTTATTTCACAGGCCTCTCATGGCTGATGTATTACCATCCATCCTCCTCCAGGACTCACATTGTGCTATGAAGGCAGGGTTCCAAACCAGAGCAAGAACAAAGCTGGACTCTGGCTGCTCAGCTTCCTCAGTGCAGGATTACGTGCTCACCCTACAAATTAGTTACTAATCTGATGAAACATTCTCAAGACATGCTGCCAGAAAAGTCCCTCCGACTAGTAAAATGGCTCATGTTCTTTGATTTCAGAAGTAGTTCTAAACCAAAATCTTAGTGCGATGCTGGGTGGGACCTCTAACAAACAGGTAGTAACCTAGTTTGTGATACTTTTGTCAATAACAGAAAGGAGGTATCTGTTGTAGCTACAGCTTCCAGAGAAGAGAGCTGTTCTCCAGCCAGTCCATATACCTTGATTTTATAGGAAGTGTTAGCTTGGAGGCCATCAATCAAAGCACCTAGGGATTCTCTGGGCAGGGAGGTTTCTGCAGGGGGCTCAGCTGCCAGTGGCACATCCTTGTATGCCACCACAGAACTTATTGTGTCTCCTGTATTTGCATACCAGGAGACACTAAAGCTGTGGTCTGTCATCCTTGAGACCACAAGGTCCGTCAGAGCATCCTCTTGCATCCCTGAGACCTCTGGAGCACGAAAGCTCCCAGAGCTAGGAAGCTCCTCTGGATAAGGAGTCATTGACTGCATTTGGGTTTGACAATATAAAGCTACAAAGAAAGAGACAAGCAAATGGCAGTGCAAAATATTCAGTCTTCCCTTTTCAGTACAATAAAATGACCTTTAGCAAACTGTTCACTTTATAATCCTTATCATCCCTTGAATACAGAATTGTTGACATCAGTTACAAAAATCTTTGTCACTTGAGCTGCATTTCATCTATAAGAAAAGACAGAAACATCAGAAAGCTGTCATCCTATACTATGGAAGGTTTTGGGACATGTTCCTTGTTCATGAGCTCCGAACATTTCAGCTCTGTGTGGAGGGTTGATATACAAAAAAAAGATAGTGAGAAGAATGCAAGAGGGGAGAGAAGGTACCAACAGAAGATCTTCAGCCCTGGGGCTGAAAGAAGCTTTCTACCCACTGCTCTGAGTAAAGATGTAAAACAGATACACTGGCCAGATGAATGGATTTATAAGAACTCCAAGATCAAATCAGAAAAAAGAAGCTACCTTGTGAGACTTGGGAAGCTGGTGCTGAAAAGGCCAGACTGTGAAATTCCACAACGTGTTGTTTCTGCCATTTCAGCATCTATACATACTCCTTTCGATACCACTCAGTCTTCAGACAGACAGGGAAACGTCTGGTAACTAGGGAAGAATCAAAGCCTCCTCACTCTTGCCACATAAACCTTCAGCTTCCTTTTGTATGTGTGTACCTCAAGGCTTCCTAATTTTTTCCAACACTGGACACAGGCCTTGCATCAAACTAGTAATTCAGTACTGATGGTCTTCTGTAGTTTACATCTTACCATAAACCTCTCTGCAGTACTGGACAAGTGGACTCTATAAAGCGCTCGGAGGTTGTGCTTGCATGGACACCACCAGTGAATATGAAACCAGTTTTGATTTGTTAAGCTGTTATTAATTTGTAAAGCCCATAACTTCTGTCACATGTTTACCTCATAGATGGTCTTTGGGAGAAAGGATGAACACTTTGATACCTGCTAAGGACAGTAACAGTCAGCTGATCCTGATTTCACTGTCTCTGCTCACTTGCAGCACTTTAGGCTTCGCCTCACAGAATTTAGCCCGAATGCATGTAAAGATTCAGGACTTATTTATGCTCTGCACCAAGATACAATTCTGTGTGCAACAAACTTTGGGTTAAAATGCTTCACAAAGAATAAAACCTTGTTCGGTAAGTAATCCACTGATACTGGTTAGTCGGAGTGGTTTGTACAAATGGAGATGACAGAAATAGCCCCCTTCTTTGTAGACAAACGTAACAGTCATGGTCTCCATGGAAATGGTGACTGTGACCAGATTTGTAGGCCCTTCTAGCTTTTGGATGACAAAAACTGAAAAAAGGCAAAATCAGAGCCCTGTTGACCCTGCTGAAGCATGATGAGTGGAGGCATGCTGTGAAGAGAATTCATTAGGCAGAAACAAGTGACGTTAAATACATTCTGGTTGCTCTTCCTCTTTGGTTTTGGCTGTAGAAAACAAAACAAGTTACAAGACATAATACACAAAGAACAGCTTCATTTAAAACAAAGGATAACATCTGCATTTCATGCAGGACAAAGAGCTGTGTTCTTTGCAAGTCTTCCCAAAGGTTAAGCAAGAAATCATTCAGAACATGGAGCTAGACATGGTAGGCAGGGAAATGCACAGCTATGCCTCAGTTAAGCCTATCATGTTAGACAGAGCTAAGTCTGCTCTGTAGGTAGTTGATGTTTCTAAGCAGTTGCTCAGGCATGGCTTACAAAATCAGGTGAAAAAGACTTGGGCTAGTCATTGCCCAATGACCTGGTGCACAGCACTCATCAAAAGCTGTCACTCACCAGTAGAACCCTTGACAGTTGTGGGTTTGCTTTTGTGTCTGCCTTTCTCCGCCACCAGACTGATGGTGTATTCTGTCCCCGCATCCAGCCCTCGCAGGATATGAGAGGTGCTGTCCACGGGAATCTCCACTTCACTCTTCTTTCCAGAGGGGTTAACAGAAATAAGGCGATAGCGATCAAACTTGGCCACTGGTCTTCTCCAGCGAAGGGATAAGGTTGTTTCAGTGGGGTCACTGACTTCCAAGTCCTTGGGGTTATCAAGATCTACAGGTTAAAAAAGCAAAGTTGACAGATTAGCATCTATACTGAGTGTCTAGCAACAGCTCAGAGGCTTATCCACTTGATTTGCTGCTCCCTCCAGAGCAAAAGGGGATCAAGTTACTCACCAGTGCCAGCATTAATAGTAGCAGGAGCGCTTTCCCTGTCCTGTCTCACTGCTGTCACACCAATGCCATATTCAGTTCCAGGCCTCAACCCTAAGTGAAGAGAAATAGAACTATGAGTTTCTGTCCACAGAATATGCCTACAGGCATTTGTTTAAACAAAGAAGCCTGAATGTATGCAAGTTAAGATATATGCTTTCCTGTGCATGCAGAGAATTGAGGTTCCAGGTGACCCTCCAGCTGACCTGATGTTAATATATTTTTTTCCATGTACATGCTTAAATATAAAGATTATGACTGAGATCATATTTTGGACACTGTGCAAATGCATAATCAGAAATAGCTTTTATTTTCAAGAGCTTGGGTACTTTTGGTACTTTTGCCAAAGAAAAGCACATAGACATCCATGTGATATTTGCCTGTACTCAAAATGCACAACCTCTGCTTGTACCTCTTATGTATAGTGACCAAAAGGGTACTTTTGCACTACACTACTGTGCCTTAGGTTATGGCAGTGGCATGACATTAATGGCTAGCTCACCATTCCCCTACCTGTGAGTGTAGCTCTGGTTGTTGCTTGGTTGCCCTTTGGCACTGTGATCTCAGCATGGTCTCCACCAGAGATGGGAGCAAACTTAATGCGGTAGTTATCAATATTTGCATGGCTGTTCTTCCACTCCAAAGTAATGCTACTGTCTGTCTGTGACACCCGCTTCAGGTTTTTTGGAGCATCCAAGTCTGTAATCAATAAACCAATAAATAGATAAATAGGAATAATTCTCTTATGACAGAAGTCCTTTATAACAGTACTTTTTAGAGTGTGGAATGATCCATCAAGTTGAAGTTAAGTTCCATCTCACATGATACCACTATATTCTTAACTATATCAACCAGATTTCTTTTAGCATGGAGTGGAGAGCTCACTGGCTGTGGAGAAAACATCAGTGGAAGAAATTAAACTTTTATCTCCTAAGACAAAAATAACAATTTCAACTCTAGCAATTATTTTCTTTACAAAATAGGCTTGTGGAAAAACACATTTGGATGAAAATACTTCCTCATAAATACATCAGCTTTCAAAAGGATCAAGGCTGCTGATCATCTCTAGATTTCTGTTCAGTAATTATCTTGCATTCATAGCTGAAAGGAGCTCTAAAGCTTAAAAGAAAAGGTGAATATTATACAGAATTTCAATGGGCTTTTGCTGTACACACCTATAGTAGACTCAAATCCTGCTCTGGATGAACAATTACATTTCAGGATGAAAAGGTAGGTTATTTTCTATGTACCATTTACTCAGCTCCCTTAATGCATCAGACCTTGATGACATGCTAAAGGATTCACACTTTCATAAATCATTCTCAGGATCACTAAAGAGCAAAGTAAATTTATAAAAGCATGACAGAAAACATTTGAAGAACTGTAGTATGAAAACAAAGCAGTTTTCTGATAGTCTGTTATGCTTTAGACAAACAGAAATAAGGTCTTAGACGGAATAGAAACCATAGAAGATAAGTAACCCAGAGGAATTTTTTTCCTGAAGTGGAAATTCAGGGTATGATGAGCAAAAGCTTTTAAGAGACTTAATAGCATAATTCTCATTTTCAAAATACATTTAGATACTTGAGGAGTATATTTCATTGAGCCAGTAGGGTATATAAGGCACAGAAAAACATTCTCCACTTTCATATACCTCCATAATAGTACTGCTGATTCTGTATTGATGAAGTAACTCATCAACTCAAGCAACACAACACAAACGGCACAGGAAGATTGATGGTGATTACATTACCTTCCCAGAGGTTGGAATTGGCATCCAAGACTCTTACCTGTGACAAAGACTTCTTTCACGGGATCGCTTTCCATGTCCCCCCGACGAGAGATGAGCGTCACTTCGTACTCTGTGTGTGGCCTCAGGTTTCCAATAGAATATTGGTTTTCATCTTCAGAGAGGTCAATGGTTGTCCTGTCCCCTGGAATATCTTTGGGGCCATAAGTGAGCTCTATGCCTTCAATTTCAGCCAAAGGTTTGGACCATGTGATAAGAGCTGTGGTGTCTGTGACATCTTTTGCCTCGATCTGGCTGGGGGCATCAAGCTCTGTTACAAAAAGAGAAAAAAGTAGTTTTTAAGGAAATCTTGCCAGTAAAATCCTACACATTCTTGTGCTTTCAATTTCTGATCCAAAATTAAAATGAGTGGTTTCTACCAACTGAAGCTTATCTTCATTTACTTTCTCACTTTACTTTCCATAGCTGCAGAAGAAAATGCAAAATGGAATCAATTCATCAGAAGCAGGTTCATCAAAATTCATTAACATCAGAAGCTGCCAAGCAAAGACAAGCAGGAACCTAAGAGGTTCTCCCCCTGCACAATAGAGACTCTCCTATAACCAATTTCTCCATGCAAATAATAGTAGGATGAAAGAAATTCTATTTGCGGTTGATGTACAATGGGAAATAGAATAAAAATGCTCTTTACTACCTTCTAGCTAAAAAAAAATCATTTCCTCTTCAAAGAGGTAATTTGGAAAGGAATTAATCTCCTTTCATGCATCCTTCATTAGCAGCTCCACTACTCCTTCTTTTCCGTCTATCAATTTACAGTATAGAGAACTTGTCATTCTCTTTGACAAAAACTCCCTACAGCAAACAGCAGTTGTTTTATTGGTGACCCTACACCAAGTACAGGTTGTGCTTACTTGTGGTTATCACTTTGGATAGTCCTGGTCCCCTGGTATTGTTTTTCACTATATGAAGGGACACATTATACTGTTGTCCTGGTGCCAAACCTGGCTGCATATAAGATGTCTCTGGCCTTTTCAAGCTGCTGGTTATATCTCCATTATCATCCTTTTTCTGTAACACATGGAACACTCAGTATTAACACAAAAATATCCAGGCTCTTCCACTTCATATGGCCTCTTACCATATGCTGCCTTACCATATTACGGAAGACGAGCTCCCAGCCATCAAATGAGAAGTTTAGAGGATCCCACTCCACCTGGACGGATGTTTCTCTAACAGACTTGAATTTCAGACCCTCTGGAGCCGGCAGATCTGTGGCAGAAAAGAAGGATATCATTACCTGGTGACAAATTCTCCTAAAGAGGACCCTGGGAGGGGGAACATCTTTCCACGACTATAAATATCTGCCTCATATTTATCTGCATCTGAGATGTTTAAACCCTCTTCATAGCCAGTTGTTCTGTCTTTGGAGAGACATTCCTCTGACCTGGTTTAGATGTCAGAGTAAAATGAATTTTGCCCTAAAAAATCTCTTTTTCTGCCCTCCTGAAGGAAGTCTAGTATGGGCATTAAAAGACAGGTGACATGAATCCTGTCCCAGATCTCTAGAAATGAGCACAGTGATAAAAGTCAAAGAGCATCTTTTGAGGCTGGGGTGTTTAGCTATGACTGTGATGTGCACAGTACAATAAGGAAGATGAACAACAAATGAATGGACAGGCAGATAGAAAGTAAGTTGTGGTAAACCACACAGAGATACAAAACAAATAAAACCTCCATTTCAACCAAAAGAGTTTGAATCAAGTGATTTCACATTCCTCTTTATACACTGTTACATTTTCCTGTTTTTAAAGGAAGCATTACCAGATTTTTAAAATGGACCTAATTATGAAGGAGCCAAAGGTCTTAATTTACAAAGACCCCCTGATATTTATTGGGAGGCACCGCAGACAGTGAAAGAGTGAGAGAGCTGTAACTTTGAATGCTGTCATTGGCATTGGAAAATAATAGGAAATGAAAGTGTAGAAGGCTGGCTTTATCCAGAACAGAAGATGAATTGAAAATGGAAAATACAAAAGAAATAATACCCCCCAAAAGAGATGCAAATAAATACATATTACATTATAGACAAAAGAATGAATACAGGGAGTGTAAAACTCACATGTTGCTACCCTGGCACTGACTGGAATACTCTTCTTGTTTTTAAGGATTGCAAAGACACGGATAAAGTATTCCACACCCGGCTCCAGTTCATGAATAGTGGCAGCTGTCTGGTTTCCTGGCACAGTGAACTGCATATCTAAGCCACCACTGCCAGTAGGAACATAGGTGATGAGGTACTCATTGACAACATTCTCATGCTTCCATTCCAGATTGACGGTTTTATCTGTTATGTCCGTCACAGTCAGCTCAGTTGGAGGAGACACTAAGGAGGGGAAAAACCAAAACAAACGTATAAGAAGTTTTCAAGGCTCAGAAAATAATGACTTACCCAGTTCCCCATTTTCCCAGGAGCAGTTTGTGAGAATCATCTAGCAAACAGGGAAGCCATGTCCCAAAAATTAGCTGCTTGAAGAAAGGAATGTTCAGCTGATGAAGACTACAGACATTTCCAAAAGGCCAATTTCTATGTTCACACTTGCACACAGCCTATGGCTGACTGTGTTCCAGCTCCTCCTCTCATAGCTACTGCACAAGACTATAGCTGGGTCCCTAGGGATTCAGATGTTCAATTTAACTGCCAGCAACACATGGTTTTATAGCTATAAGTCCTGGGTTTTGCATGGATTTTCCAAAGTAAAGTTAAACATTATTATTTTTGTAAATACTTTCAATAGAATGCTCCACGTTTGCAAGTGCAAGAGCACAAAATGGGGCTTAGGAGTCTTCCAGAAGGAGGAGATGAAAAATGGGGATTTCTTTTTAAGGGTATTCATTGTCTTTTATAATGTTCCCAACCCCAAAGTACTCTTTGATTACTCTACAAAGATCTTAGTTCTAAAATTTCTCCCCTGGGCTCTACTAAAGAAAACTACCTCATTTATAGCATAATGCCTGTCATTATCTAGCTGCCAAAATTTTCTGTTCATTTCCATAAAGTCAGTGGTATTGGGAAACGAAGCATGTGGCTTCATAGCTAAGTTTCCACTCCAGCTGATTCGATGATTTTACTCTAAGCTTTTATCGGGTCTAACATTCACACACACACACACATATATATATGTTTATATATATATAAAATCAAGATTTACTTTCGTTATAAAGATCTATCTGACCAAAATGAGAGGCAGCCAAGGCCCCTGTGATAATCCTGAAAGCCTGAACTTCAATATTTGCACCATCTGGCAGTTCCATTATGATAGTTGCCTCACAGAGTTCACTCAGATGGGACAACATTATTTCCCATGTGTGCCCAGCCTCCACTAACTACACCCTCTGCCTCCACCAGGGCTCCAGCTCAGAGATCTGTCTTCAAAACAAAGTCACTGAACCCCTGGAGTGGGTCTGTTAGTGCTGTCAGGGCTGTGTGTTTCATTTTCAGCTGCCTACAGTAGTGATGGCATTGTAAATCAAAACCTCTTTCTTATCCATCCAGCATGAGACTGGGAACCAGAATGTGGCTGCAAGAGATGTTTGATATCCAGGCTCCTTTTTCACTGGCATCCATTGTCTATATTATCTCATTCCTGCAAAACCTTATTCTTTAGCTGAAATTGGGCCCATATTCTTTTGACTGAATTCCTAGTAAGAAGACCCTGGATACATCTTCCTTTTCTCCACATCTAGAACAGTTTCTTTCAGATGATTTTGCTTTTTAAGCATCAAGAGGTGCTATGAGGAATTGAAAGGTCATGGTGACAAACCACAACCAGTGCTGGCTCCAGTGGCATTGTGATGGGAGCAAACTGCATCACCATTATCAGCCTGCTGGCTTGCTGACCACCAGAAATCACCAGTAACCTCTAAACTATATATAGGAAGTTAAAATCTTGCTACTGTTGTTATTTCTCCAATTCAGCTGCCTGGGTGATGATAAATAAGAGTGGCAACAGGGCCTGGCTATATGTAAAAGGTTCATAGAGCTTCTAAAGCTGCTGGAAGGGCACAGGGAATTACTGTGGGGAAGCAGTTCAAAAGAGACATTGCAACCTACCATCGGAGCAGTCATCCCCCATGTAACCATCCTCACAGACACACCGTCCGTCGACGCAGCGGCCCACATTGTTGCAGTCATTGGGGCAGGACTGTTCTCGGCAGTCCTCCCCCCTGAAGCCCTCATGGCACACGCAGCGCCCATTGATGCAGCGCCCGCGCTGGTGGCAGTCATTGGGGCAGGACAGCTCGCCGCAGTCCTCCCCTGTGAAGCCATTGTCACACTCACAACGCCCCTCCACGCAGCGTCCACGGTTGTGGCAGTCCTCAGGGCACCGCAGCTCCCCACAGTCCTCCCCTGTGTACCCTTCGTCACACACACACTGCCCATTGACACAGAGACCTCTCTTGTGGCAGTCGTTGGGGCACCTCAGCTGGCCACAGTCCTCCCCAGTGAACCCTTCATGGCACACACACTGCCCGTTGATGCAGCGCCCGCGGTTGTTGCAGTCACTGGGGCATCGCAGCTCCCCGCAGTCCTCCCCAATGAACCCTTCATTGCATACGCACTGCCCATTGATGCAGCGCCCGCGGTTGTGACAGTTGTTGGGACACCGCAGCTCACCGCAGTCCTCACCCAGGTACCCCTCATGGCACACACAGCGCCCGTTGACGCAGCGCCCGCGGTTGTGGCAGTCATTGGGACACCTCTTCTCGCTGCAGTCATCCCCCACAAAGCCCTCATAGCAGACGCACAGCCCGTTCTCGCAGCGCCCGTTGCCGTTGCAGTTGTTGGGGCAGGTCAGCTCGCCGCAGTCCTCCCCGGTGAAGCCCTCCTCACAGAAGCAGGTCCCATTGACACAGCGCCCGCGGTCGAAGCAGTCGTTGGGGCAGATGAGCTCGCTGCAGTCCTCACCAGTGTAACCCTCATCGCAGATGCATTCACTATCCACACAGCGCCCGCGGTTGTGGCAGTTGTTGGGGCAGAGGGGCTCACTGCAGTCATCACCTGAGAAGCCCTCATGGCACACGCATTGCCCGTTCACGCACCTCCCATGCACACTGCACCCCTGGGAGCAGAGCTCTTCGCTGCAGTCTGTGCCTGTGTACCCCTCAAAGCACACACAAACGCCATCGATGCACTTGCCTTGGTCATTACAGTCAGCCGGGCAGGAGACCTGGCTGCAGTCCTCACCCGTGAAGCCTTCATTGCAGATGCATCTGCCCTGGATGCAGAGGCCCTGGTTGAAGCAGTTGTGTGGACAGGCTGGTTCAGAGCAGTTGGGACCTTTCCAGCCAGGCTCACAAACGCAGCCACAGATCTCAATACTGTAGTTGCCGTGTCCACTGCAATAGGGTGTTGTGTCCAGGCGACCTGTACCAATGATCCAGAAAACCAGTTACTCCCCTTGGCTCTGGGATGCATTAGGCCAGTGTGGCACAGACCACCTAAAAGTGGCCTAATGCTCCTAGCTCTGTACAGGATATAATTTCCAGTATTGCCAAAGCTTCTAAATGACAATAAATCCTTTTTTTCCAGTGAGATTCACTTTACCAGGGATGTTTTAATTCACACTGATGCCAGGCAAGAGCCCCTGCCAACTACTTGGTTAAATGAGGATGCTGGATTCCTCTGCCCTTCT